ACTGTTGCAGGTCTCCCCAGTGCCACCGTAGCAGGGGAGAACTGGGGCAAACAAACCAGAGGCTGCTCCCTCTGCTATCGCAAATGCCCCAACCTCAGGCTGGCACCCATCCCCAGCACACGAGTCTCCTTGATGGGGGGGACACATGTGGCTCCCATAGCGACACAGCCCGGGCCAGACTCACACTCAGCAGCGGGTTTTCGGGTGGCTTGACAAACTGTGCTTGGCTGTCACCCCAACTCACCGTATGGTGATCTCGAAGATCTGGTTGAGCTTGCTCTGCAGCAGCGTCGCCTGTAACACAGACACAGCGGCTGTATTAGTGCGGCTGCACCCTGAGGTACAAAGGGGACAAACACCCCGTTGGCCTTCCCCGGTCACCAGAGCAGGAGGAGGGTGGCCTGGCAAAATTCAGAACCGCATCATCACCGTCCGCCTCTCCCCAGCAGAGCGGCCGCAGGGATTTAGAGTGCCACAGCCCCGACTCACCCGGGCACCGCAATGGGCTGCGATCTCCTCAAACGGGGCTTTCTGAAATTTCTCCACCACTTGCCGCCTCCGCTCTCGCTCCTGCTCCTCCACGGCGACGCTGTCTACTGAAACAGAGGGGAGATGGCTCTCAGCTGCTCCCCACCCGCAGAGACCACCCCGTACTGCATCCCCACCTCCCCAGCAGAGAGCATGGATTTGGGCATCACTAGAAAGTCAAGGAGAGGGTCTCAGGCTTCTGACTTTGGAACCAGCCCCCCAGGGACACCCCCAGGGCCAGGCAGAGCTATGAAGCTGCCCGGTCGCCCTGCGACGTGGGCGCAATGCTGCCATGGTGAGGCGCTGGGGACTCATCCATTCGTGGTGTGCACACACAGACGCAGGGGTGACAGTACCCACGCCAGCCTCCACCTCTCTCTACCATGGCCCTCGCTTACCTATCGCCTTCTTCAGCGTCTCGTACGTGATCTCTTCTGCTGGTGCTCTCTAAAGGAAAGGGAAAAGCAGATGAGGCTCAACGCACAGCACAAGACACCGTTCTCCGATCACAGCAACCCAGAACTAGTGTCCCAGGCTGTATTCTTGCACCAAAACATAGTCTGTCCTTCAAGATCAGGGATATCTTTCCTGGCAAACTGCACTTTTAAAATGTTTTTTTTCAGGCTGGACGAGCCAGGCCTTACACCTCTCCGAAGGCTCCCATAGCTAAAAAATACGCATACAGGGAAAATAAAGATTTGCCACCCAAACAGCAGCGGGAGACCCTTCCTGCCGTGCAGCTCCCCTTGCAGGCTGGGACCTGTCAGCACCTGGAGCGGAGCATCAGGGGGAGTCGGGGTTTTTCTGACCCCGCTCACTGCCAGACACGCCGGAGCTGAGTGATGGGCCCCTGCGCTCGCAGCCAGTGGAGCAATTATGCGTGCAGCCAAATGAAGAATTAGAGGGCTTAACTGCATGCTGGCAGGCTGCTAAAAGCACACAGTGCCAAAGGGATGAGGCAGCCTCTGCAGCTCTCTTGTAACACAGTACCTGCTCTCGCTCAGGACTGTTTCTCGACTCCACCTCGACCTGCAGGGAAATGGTCTCGCCAATGCTCTTCCTCTTGGACAAGCGGTCTTCATCTGGGGAGGAAGAGAAAGGGCAGGAGAGCTAATTGCAGCCACGCCGGGGGCAGTGGGGCGAGCACAGGCCACTCCCAGGGAACATGGCCTCACGTCGCAACCCCAGGGTAGCAGTTCATCTGCTCAGCCATTCACCCAAATTCATCCAAACTAGCAGAACTGAGCACTGAGCCAAGCCCAGCGGGCTTCATTGCTCCTTCCAGCCAGCCAGCCATGCATGTGGCAACCCCAGGAAGCTTCCAATTCACTGCTTTGTGCCTCAGTTTCCCCAAGGCTACACCTCTAAAGGAGGGCAGGAAAACAACATGCCTACATGTACCACAAGAACTTCACACCCCCGTAACTGTGGAGAGTGAGGGACCAGTTTCCTCCCCTCCCAGTTCTCCGGGATGCGCCAGGGTGCTGCGTACCCGTCAGCTGGGGGATGTAGGGTGTGCTGAGCCGATCCGAGTTGTAGCCGCTGCCGCCCAGCACTTCACTGATCTTGCTCTGCCAGAAGAAGACCTCCGGGCCCAGGCGGTCAAGGCTCTTGCTCAACCTATGGAGATGGAGAAAAACCAATGGAAGATGGCAGCATCTCTCCTGCTAGGGGAACCGTGCCAGCAGGGTTTCCAGTCCCTTTGGGTCGCTTAGCTCCAGCACAGCCGGATACATCATGCTATTTCTGCGCACACCGGCACAAAGCCAGAGGCCCAGAAGGGCTCTCGACCCATCACGAAGGATACGGATGCGCTCAGGAAGGACCACCCTGACCTAGGGAATGTCTCAAGAGGGCTGTGGGACTCACTGGGGGCAGCGTCTCCGTAAGGGACCTCACCACCAAATTTCACCCATGCCAAGTGTGCCAAGGCTGTGTCAGAAGTCCCAGCCAGCCTTGGCCTGGGGATGCCCAGCACGCAGCAGGCATCCTCGAGCTGGCAGCATGGCAGAGCAGCGGGATGACATGCCAGATTTACACCCGTCCTGCTGCCAGAGAAGGGGAGGGACCCCCTGCAGAACTGATCCCGGCGTTGGGCTAGCTGTGAGCGCAAGCCGCGGTGGCCACCCCCGTCCCTGACTGCGTGGGATCCCCCTCAGATTCTAAACAGGCTGAAAACCACTTGATGTCCTTCCCACTGTGCCATCCCCAGATGGGAAAGGAGACAAGCACAGGCAAGTGAAGGGCTGATAAACGCATTATTGCCCACAATCTTATGGACGCCAATCTCTCAGGAGCAGGTAGTGGGGAAGAAGGTATTTTCCAGGCTCTTACCTGGGTCTCTCCACAAACACATCTTCAGGGAGCAGATAGGGAGCTTCCTTCTGCCGCATCTGGATGACCTGCAGAAGACAAGCAAGGAGCCAAGCTCGAACCCCATGGGTGGCCAGGAGAGCTGATGCCAGAGTTGCCACAGATAAGGTTCCAGCCCTGTCCCCAGACCCTCCCTCGCACCTCATGGATGTGCTGGCAGAAGGTGGGCACAGTGGTGAGCTGGCTGATCAGGTTCAGGTAAGCTGCACCGAGGGCAAAGAGCGCGCAGCGGTTGTACGCTGTCAAGTTATCCTCGTTGATCTGGGCAATCTCCTGCAGCAGAGACACAGCCCCATGAGATGAGGATGGACAAGGCCCCAGGGTGGTCCCAATCCACCTCGTGGCATCACCTGCCCTGCAAACATCCCAGCTTTTGGAGCTTGGGTTTGCAGCATTTCAGAGGCTGACAAGGCAACTGGGGTCTCTCCCCAGCGTGCTGGTCTGATCCCACGAGGGTGGGAAAACCTGAGAGCAGGTGAGGCACTTGCATCCTGCTTCCTCAGAGATCCCAACTCCAAAACAACCCCCCTCCCAGAGGCTCCTTCCCATCACATCCCAGCTCCCCCCTGCCTACCTGCACTGCCAGCACCAGGCGGATGAGGTCCACCACGACCTCCTCGTTAGCCAGCTCGATGCTGATGAGCATCAGCATGCTGTAGAGAGCCTCATAGTGAGCCTGCACATTGCTCTCCTCCTTGCATATCAAGTAGATGTGCCGGTAGAGCTGCTGGCCATGCTGTGGGGACACGTAAGGATGCAGTCACCTCCTAAGCATCCCCTGCGAGCAACACTGCCATCAACACAGAGAAAGTAAAGCAGCAGAGCCCAGCAAAGGGGTCTCCAACAATGCAGGAGGGAGCAGAGCTCCTCCGGTCACCAAGCAAACAAAAAAAGCCCCAGGGAGAGGGAGCTGTGACTATCAGGTGGTGTTTCACCATTCGATGCTGGACCCTGATGGGGAAGAGCCACCGGCAGGTCCAAGAGCAGAGCCCAGGGCAGGCAAACAGCACTCGCAGCACCGAGCCCAAGGAAAGGATGCCTCTGTTGCAGAAGCATTATAGAAATCACGGCTCAGACCACAACAGAGCAATAAAGCCCTGAGACACACTGCTTGATAGCGAGGCATGGGACAGAGCAGGGCACACGTTGGCGCAAGGGAAACACAACTCTGCTACGGTTTTCAGTTGAGGGGCTGCATTGCTGCTCCCTGGTGTGTGCTGGGTAATAAACTGATCCTCTCTTGGCCTCAAGTTAGTTCCAGAGGAGTTTGCACCACCCCTGAAAATGTTTTAAGGGGGGAGGGAGGGAAATAAAAATAAATAAATAAATAAAATAATCAGGCAACTGTTGACAAATAGCTTTTTGGGATATCAGCACATCCTGGGGTACTCATTCCTTGGGGCAAATAGCAGATTTAGGCGTCTAGAAAGGCCCACACATGAAGTGCCGATGGAGATTGAATCCCACTGGCTTTTCCCAGGGACATCCCCAGGTTTAGAGGCATCACAGGGCTTTTCCCCATGGCTCAGTGTGACTTGGGGAAACAGATGCACAGTCCTTACACCGGTCTGCACGAGGACAGCTTGACCCAGACCCTGCCACTACCTTCTTCATGAAGACAGTATCTTGACGTGAGCATTTGTCCACTTTCAGCTTCAGGACCGAGATGTCGCTGATGGTGCTGCAAGGAAAGGCCAAGGGGAAGGGAAAACTCAGTCATCGGAGGGAGGAGGCGCGATTCCTGCATGCCTGCAGAGCTGCTGGCCAGGAACGAGGGGGGAAGCTAACAGTGGCTTTTAAAACCCATCTGAGCAATTCAGATATTCAAGCGTACTGAGCCAAATCACTACAGGATTTCAAGGCAGTGGCACTCCGGAACACAAAGGCAAGCTAACAAAGAAGCATGCAAGCAAAATGGATTAGCAGGACCACAGCAAAACCCATGGAGATGTTTCCATCTGGGATTACAGTCACCTTCTTCCAAGGTAACGCAGCATGGACAACACGAGTGCCCAGCAGGCCTATCCATGGGGATGCAATGCAGTCGATGAACCCACTCGAGGAGGTTATTGCTCCTGCACATCCTACATTCAGCAGGTCCCATGTCCCTCTGGGCACAGTCTCTCAGAGAGACCCCCCACCCATCTGGCCCTTAGCAGACCGCTGATCTGCAGCATTAAACCACCCCAGAACTGGTACCAGGATTTATTAATAATCCTGCCAGTGCTCCCAGCCCAGCAGATCTCCCTCCCAAGCCTGCTTTGCAGGGTCTGCAGGTCCCAGCCCTGTTGGAAAGCCCCCGGGACATACCTGATGGTGGAGAACTTCTGCCGATTCCCATGGCGATCGATGAAGCTGATGAGAATCTCCAGGACAAAGAGGCGGATCTCAGCATCCTCCATGAGGGCTGCAGAGAGCAGCCTGTCCAGGAAGGCGCTGGGAAGTGCTGTGAGCATGTTACTGCACTGGAAGCCCACGGAGACCTGCAAGCATCAGAGAAAAAGGGAGGCAACATGAGGATGTCACTTGAGGGGGGTAAAAACACACCAAGAAAGAGGGGATGCGAGCAGAGAAGACTAAGTACAGCTTGAGCTCTTCCTAAACCACCCTGGGGAGAGGGTCCCCAAGCTCAGCTCTCCCATGCCAGCAGCTGGGGACCCCACGTGTCTGATGGCAGCTGGACACTCCTGCGCGGATTGAGACACATTCATACCTGGAGGAGGGACTTCAGAAGCATTATCTGTGTCAGCCGATTCCGGTTCTCCCTTCATGAAGAGAAGAAACAAATGGTAAAATCCAAGTGAAAACAAAACAACTCTCCTTCCATACCCAAAGGATGGAAAAGCCTCAGAAAGGGTAGGACCAGTTTCCCAAGAGTCACCACCACAAACAGCCATGCTGTAAAGGTCTCCAGAAAATGAGCTCCAGATTTAACAGCCAGCAAAAAGGCTGCTAAAGGAATGATGAATATCAAAGTATACATTATGCCATAGGCACCAGAAACAAGGCAGCACTTGCATCTCCAGGCAGGCGCAAGCTGAGCTCGGGATGATGAATCACCCTCTGGACGTGCCCATCCCACAGCAGCTCTCGAGGGATGCCAGGCACCAGCTCTGAACAGGCTCCTCACTTTTAAGCAGCTGAAAATTGGAAAGATGAAGCCCAAGCCCTCCTGTCCGTGAAGGTACCCCTGCTCCTCGTTCCTGTCTCGCTTCTTGCAAAGCCACCATGAACCACACTTCCACTTCAGTGACGTGAGGGGTTTTTTATGCAAAAAAGAGGAAATCTTGAATTCTCTAATGTCTGAACTCCTAGCCCTATACTGGAAGGGGACACAGGAAGCTCCCAAGGGATTTCCAGGCTGTCCCATCACCCACGGCACGCTGCCTACCTCTGCCTAGGGACTGAGCTACACCGCAAATGGCAGCATCCCCATAAGCCAAACTGCAGGCTGCAGCTCCTCTGCAAACTCTTGGTTCATCTACACACCCAGAGCAAGCACCATCCTTCACACAGCGTCAGATGAGATTTAAAAACTCTCCCGGAGGAAGCTCATGAGCTGATAAAGCAGCAGTGACAGACAGCCTGGCACAGCCAGCCTAGCACTGAGAAGTGACTGCCATCCTGGGGCTATGAGCCCGATTCTGCTCCTGCAGCAAGGAAAGCTGCCCTGGCCGAACGGCACGCAGAACCCAGCGTGTCTCCTGCCGTGTGAATCCGGATTGAACACAGGCGTCAGGAATTACTGCCATGCGAGTGAGGAGCAGAGCGTGTCTCCTATCAGCCGGCAAAGTCTCTCTCCCATCAGAGACAAGTGGGAAGAGCCTGACCATACTTCAAAGATAAATATAGCATGAAAATCTGTTTGCTCCTTACCTACATGTTTCAGCGCTGATACCCTTGCTCCAAATAGCTCTCATAGTCTGTTCCCACACTTCTTAAGCAGTTATGTTGTTTGGGTGTTTTCCTTTCCTTCTCTTCCTCCACCACCGGGTAGAAATACCACCTCCCGCTCAGTGTTAATAAAACACTCAGAGGCAGCTCAGAGGGGCCACGCGCCAGCGGTGGGAGGCAGCGATGAGCAGCCAGTCCCATGAAGCCATACACGAGCTTCTCAAAAGCCACGGGCAGCCCTCACTCACCAGCGGCCACCTCGCTGCCCTGAGACATCTGAAGTCACTCCCCTGAACGTTATTTTTAGTTCCTGGCTAGTTTTGGATGACACCCCAGGACCGAGCTCCTGACAGCTGAATCTCTTGGCAGGTACCTGAAGAAATGCAGAGTTTAACTGCAACACCACTGCCTCTAAATACCTTCCCTCCTTGATGCTCCAGTGTTTCAAGGGGCCCTTGTCATCACATTTGCAGCAGACAGCAAAGCATTTTAAACAAGGATCACACGTTGCTCAGCTTCCCTCGGTCTTCAGTGGAAGCTCTCGATGCTCAGCCTTTCCGACAATGCGCCCACGTCCCACTCTATCGCCAAAGGCCACCTCAAGGTGGGAACGGTTTCAGGAGCTCCCCAGCACTTTCAGCCCCACGTTCAAAGCCTCACACCACCGCACACGGGACAGCAGCAGGGAGAGCAGGGCAGGGAGGAGCAAGAGGAGGGAGGAAGGCATCCGTTCTCACCCAGCTTTGCCAGCCTCGATGGACTGCTGCGAGGACGGAAGCGGCACCTTGTTCATGATGAAGACCATCACCTCAGACTGCTGGTAGGTGGGCAGCGTGCTGGCAAAGGACCCTGCGGTGACAAGAGCAAGCTGGTAACGTGCGAGGAGCAGCCCACCGCCCCCAGACGCACCCAGTGCCGTGGGGTCTGCCCGCCTGCACCGCTCCAAGCCTGCTGCCAGACCCTCATAGCCAGGCTGGGATAGGACAATGCCCGCCTGGATCTGGTACCCACAGGCAGCTTTACCTTCAGGGTGATTCAAGACCCATCAAAACACCTCCCAGGTGGGGCAGCCCCAGGCCCAGGCAAGGTGAGGCTGAGAGACGCCAGCCTCTGCCTCTACCCCTTCCTTTTTTGGGGCTGGTGCATCC